TTATTGTGGAAAAGCAACAATAATTTGAAAAAATGGTAGAAGTGATAGCTATTTCGGAAATCATCGGTTCGAATCCTACTGAAAGAAGTCTGACGAGGAAATGTGTGATTTCCGAAATAGCTATCACTTCTACCATTTTTTCAAATTATTGTTGCTTTTCCACATTAAGTTTTTCACTTAAAACGGCCTCAAGCTCATAAAAATTGTTGAATATAATTAAATATATTTGTTAATAAAAACACAGTTTATACTTAAACAAAAACTGTATAAATCCCAGGTTCAATCTTTATGCAACAAAAAACAAAACATCAACAAATTTTCGCAAAAATTTCGAGCGTTTTAATTAGATTTTATAGAAATATGTATGTAGGTCAGAGTAACGAAATTAGTGAAAAATTCGGAAAATAAATTTTTGGTTAAATAGCATTGGTATTTACATACCTAAATCCATCTGTTTGCTGATATCTTCCATCGTATTCATTTGCAATAAAGGAAGTGTTCTGATATTCCTCATTCTTGTATTCGCCTGTGTCTGTATCCGTCCATCCATTTGGATTGCGAAACGGGTTCAGTTCGGTTGGTTTTTCAGCAATTTGTGCTACAGCAATGAGATAATTTAAAAGATTTAGGCTTAAGATGTCTATGAAAGAAAATTTCTTTATTGGGTAATGATTAAATTCATATATTTTTTGTATAATTACAATTACAAATTAATGCATATCGCCCCCTGAAATGCAAAAAGCCGTTACAAACATCGTCACTAAAATGGAAAAAGGCGTGACTAATAATTTTAGTTTTTGCTAATAATTTTAGTTTGTAATTCGGTGTCATATAAATTAAAGAGTGGATTTTGAATTTTTTGTTGGTTACAACTTTTTGCATTTCAGCGACGATTTTTGTTGCGTGTTTTTGCATTTCAGATGACGATATGTACCAGGGTTGTAACGAATATTCGCATTCGCAACCGCGGATGTCTAAAATTCCACATTCGCCACATCCCTAATATGTACGTTGGGACTGCCTCGCAAAAAAATGTTTCCATTGTCCCAATTCGATTCAACACATGGTCATTCTCAAAAGCACTTCTAAAAATGTCATTTTTTACAACAAAAATTGTATTTGCGAAACTAGAACTACAACGTTACTTTAAGAGATCTACTAAACAGCTGATCGTAAAGACTTACGCCACTTGTATCAAATTTAACGCCGCTTTGTTAGGTGGCAGTTGCAAACAAATT